GAAAAAGGAAATCAAGGATGCTGTTGTTGCAAAGGGGGTAACTATGCTGACAAAAATGAGATCACCAGTACTCGAAGAGGTTGAGAAGTTATTATTGGTGTGGATAAATGAGAAACAATTAGCAGCAGATACTCTTATGACTTCGATTATTTGTGAAAAGACTAGGCAGTTGCATGAAGATTTGATAAAGAAACTGCCTGCAAATAGTGGTGATGTGAGTGAATTTAAGGCCAGCAAAGGCTGGTTTGAGAGATTCAAGAACAGTACTGGCATACACAGTGTGGCAAGGCATGGTGAGGCTGCCAGTTCGGATCACAAGGCGGCTGAAAAATATGTGCATGAATTCAAGGAGTACATAGAGGCTGAAGGACTGAAACCTGAAGTGTTCAATTGTGACGAAACAGGCCTCTTTTGGAAGAAAATGCCAAAGAGGACCTTCATTACACAAGAGGAAAAGGCAATGCCAGGACACAAGCCTATGAAAGACAGGCTGACGCTAATGTTCTGTGCTAATGCTAGTGGGGATTTCAAAGTGAAGCCATTACTAGTGTACCATTCTGAAAATCCCAGAGTGTTCAGGAAAAACAATGTTATGAAGAGTAAATTGTGTGTGTTTTGGAAATCTAATAGTAAGGCATGGTCACGAGGGAAATTTTCGTCGAGTGGTTCAATGAAGTGTTTGGCCCTAGTGTGAAGGAGTATCTCCTGGAAAAGAAATTGGATCTCAAGTGCCTGCTAGTAATGGACAATGCACCTGCTCATCCTCCAAACTTGGATGACCTAATTTTCGAGGAGTTTGGGTTCATCACAGTAAAGTTCTTGCCCCCGAATACCACTCCTCTCCTCCAGCCCATGGACAACCAGGTCATTGCAAACTTTAAAAAAAAACTACACAAAAGCAATGATTCACAGGTGCTTGACTGTGACCACAGACACTCACTTGACCCTAAGGGAATTTTGGAGAGAACACTTCAGCATCCTCCATTGCATAACCCTTATAGGTATGGCTTGGGAGGGAGTGACTACAAGGACTTTGAACTCTGCCTGGAGAAAATTGTGGCCAGGTTGTGTCGATAAGAGGGATTTTGAAGGGTTTGGGACTGACCCTGATGAGCCTATGTCTGTCGTAAAATCAATTGTGGCACTGGGGAGTTCCATGGGGTTGGATGCGAGTTTGGAGGATGTGGAAGAATTGGTGGAAGACCACAACGAAGAGCTCACCACTGAGGAGATGCAAGAGCTTCAGCAGGAAGAGCAACACATCGCAGCTCAGAATCTTCCTGCAGAGGATGAGGAAGAGAGATAGAAGAAGGTGCCTTCTTCAGAAATTAGAGAGATTTTTACTATGTGGGGTAAGATGGAAAGCTTTATGGAGAAACATCACCCTAACAAGGTTGTTGCAAGCCATATTGGCAACATGTACAGTGACAAAGTCTTGGGCCATTTTAGGGAAGTGTTAAAGAGATGCCAGAAACAGAGCTCTCTCCACAGTTATTTTGCGAGACAGGACTCCATTGACTCTCAAGGTGGTCCTAGTGGCATTAAGAAACAGAGAAGAGAAGCAACCCCAGAAAAGCAATTGGTACCTGAGGTGTTGCTGGAAGGGGATTCCCCTTCCAAACTATAAACAATCCACTCTCTCTCCTCCTCCAGTCTCCCATACACTAAGAAGAATCTCCAATAAAGGTAAGTGTTATGCTGTTAATGTTTCATTCATCATTTCCCATTGTATTGTTTATGTACTACATGTATATTTCATGTAAAAAATATTTTTGTTTTAATACTTCTGGGTGTCAGGAACGGATTAATTGTATTTACATTATTTCTAATGGGGAAAATTGATTCGTAAATCGTAAATTTCGTTCATAGTAACGGCTCCAGGAACGGATTAATTATGAAAAACGAGGGACCACTGTATATGGAATAGGTGGTAAGTTACTAAATGCTGTAGAGAGTTTTTATGAGGATAGTGAGGCTCAGGTTAGGGTGTGTAGAAGAGAGGGAGACTACTTCCCGGTAAAAGTAGGCCTTAGACAGGGATGTGTAATGTCACCATGGTTGTTTAATATATTTACAGATGGGGTTGTAAAAGAAGTAAATGCTAGGGTGTTCGGGAGAGGAGTGGGATTAAATTATGGGGAATCAAATACAAAATGGGAATTGACAGAGTTACTTTTTGCTGATAATACTGTGCTTATGGGAGATTCTAAAGAAAAGTTGCAAAGGTTAGTGGATGAGTTGGGGAGTGTGTATAAAGGTAGAAAGTTGTAAGTGAACATAGAGAAGAGTAAGGTGATGAGGGTATCAAATGATTTAGATAAAGAAAAATTGGATATCAAATTGGAGAGGAGGAGTATGGAAGAAGTCAATGTTTTCAGATATTTGAGAGTTGACGTGTCAGCGGATGGATTTATGAAGGATGAGGTTAATCATAGAATTGATGAAGGAAAAAAGCTGAGTGGTGCACTGAGGTATATATATATATATTTTTTTTTTTGTAACAAGTAGGCCGTCTCCCACAGAGGTATATGTGGAGACAAAAAACATTAATTATTTATGGAGGCAAAGAAAGGAATGTATGAAAGTATAGTGGTACCAACACTCTTATATGGGTGTGAAGCTTGGGTTGTAAATGCTGTGGCGAAGCGGCGGTTGGAGGCGGTGGAGATGTCCTGTCTAAGGGCAATGTGTGGTGTAAATATTATGCAGAGAATTCGGATGTGGAAATTAGGAGAAGGTGTGGAGTTAATAAAAGTATTAATCAGAGGGCTGAAGAGGGGTTGTTGAGGTGGTTTGGTCATTTAGAGAGAATGGATCAAAGTAAAGTAACATGAAGAGCATATCAATCTGTAGGGGAAGGAAGGCAGGGTAGGGGTTGTCCTCGAAAAGGTTGGAGGGAGTAAAGGAGGTTTTGCGGACGAGGGGCTTGGACTTTCAGCAAACATGCGTGAGCGTGTTAGATAGAAGTGGATGGAGACAAAAATGGTATTTGGGACCTGACGAGCTGTTGAAGTGTGAGCAGGGTAATATATAGTGAAGGGATTCAGGGAAACCGGTTATTTTTTTATAGCCGGACTCAAGTCCTGGAAATGGCAAGTACAATGCCTGCACTTTAAAGGAGGGGTTTGGGATATTGGCAGTTTGCAGGGATATGTTGTGTATCTTTATGCATATATGCTTCCAAACTGTTGTGCTCTAGGCACCACTGCAAAAACAGTGATTATGTGTGAGTGATGTGAAAGTGTTGAAGGTTGAAAGTAATTTCTTTTTTGGGATTTTCTTTCTTTTAGGGTCACCCTTCCTCGGTGGGAGACGGCCAACTTGTACAAAAAAAAAAAAAAAAAAAACATACAAGTAGAGAACAGGATGAAGTTGGAGCCATCTGTGGGCCAGCATCTTCATTTGATCAACCGACTATCTCGTTGACATCATAATGCTGTACAAATGTGTTCCAAACTCGAGTCATCCTGGGGATAAATGATCTCAAACAAAGTGATGTTCTGGAGAAGGGTACAGCCAAAGTGAAGTTGCTGCTCTCTGCCCGTCTTGTAGTTAAAGAGCTTGCTTCACGCTGTCCTCGAAGTGGCTCCAAGTGTGGTACTTTGACAATATTGGCCTTGTACATAACAGTAAGGGCATCCACATCCCTCCTGTGTTGAAGGCTCTGCTGAAATGACAGATCTATCCAGGATGGGTCCAGGCGAGAGATGAGACGTCTTGCTTTGTTCTCTACTCTGTCAAGCAGTCGCAAATGAGAGGGGAGGCAGGCAAACCAAGAAAGTGGAGCATACTCAAGGTGTGAGCATACTTGTGCCTCATACAGAATCTTGCAATCCCTACTGTCAAGTAGATGCAAGATACGGAGAAGTGCTGTATGCTTCCTGGCTGCCTTGTTTGCAAGATTTACAACGTGGTTCTTCATGGTCAGTTTGGAGTCACATTTCACCCCAAGCATATCAACTTCTTCCCCAGGTGCCAACACCCTCCCATCATTCTCTCTCCCCCTCTTTTGTTCTCCCTCCCTCCCCTATTCTCTCTCCCTCTCCTGTTCTCTCATTCTCTCTCCCTCTCTCTATTGTCCCCCCCTCCCCCCGCTGCACTAGCAGGTACATATTGAAGGCTAAGGCGTTCCACTCACTGAAACATTTTACTGACTCCCAGAAGGGATTTAAGTTATCTGTTCCACCTCTGATATCTCTCCTGCCCTTAAAGGAGCTATCAACATTGAATAATACTCTAAGCAAGAGAGTACAAGTGATCTGAAGTCACCACTGGCACTATTTAACTTGTTTTGAAAATTTTCATTATTTACCCTGTCATTTTCCTGCCTTTCATATGTCACTTGTTCCTTTTGTTCTATCTGGTGATCTTGCATTTAGTATAAATTCTCTCTCTCAAATTTTTTGCTCTTTCCATATCTAAGCAACTGGAACTTGTCACTAGTAAATATCATGTTATCCTCCACTGCCCACTGGAAGACTTTGTTCATATTTTTTCTACAAATTTTTGTGTGTCCTCGCCTGAGGTGATTTTCATGTTATTTTAATATCAACAAATGATGAAATAAACCTGTAGCTGGTGTTTTCATCTATGTCTACTTTAAGAATAAACAATGAAGGCACCAAAGACCATCCCTTGGGGTACAAAGAACCCCCCCCCCCCAAAAAAAAAAAAAAATTCAACAAATATTCAACAGTGCAGGTATCTTGCCCAATTATGAACAGTTTTCACTTGAGTTGATACAGAAAACTTTCTTATCACATTGCATACAAAGCATACGGTAGGAGAGAAGGGAATGAAAGTGAAAAATTTAAGGTATCCTTCCTTGGAAGAAATATGTAACACTGAAATAAAAAAAAAAAATTACAACTGTGTGGTTAGGGGAAGCATGTTTGACTTACTTATCCCCTCCTCTTGACTCAAGAGCATGGAAATGGCATTTGAGTCTATAACAGAGATTAGTAAGGCCCTGTCAATAATTTAAAGTCATGGTATCTCACCTGTTGACTAGATGAGTGACTGGCCTGAGGTGCCCCAGCAGTAGAAGCACGATTGGCCCATGAAAGATTAGATACAGGTGATCCCCAAACACCTGCGGCTCCTAAACTCATGTGGCTTACAGCAGCAGCACGCTCTGCTGCCTCCTTCTCTTGTCGCTGTAAATATAAAATTATAGACTTGAAAAAAGTCTTCAAATAAAGATGCCAAGGGGTTGCATATATTTATTTTCTCACACATTTCTGATTGTGAAAACTGGAAAGAGATAACACGATTGCAAACAAACCATGGTATAGGTGGGGTCAGAACTCATGGCAAGTGAGTTGTAAAACTCTAGGCCAGTGCATAAGCCACTGGGCCAGCTGCCTACAATAAGATTCATCCAACTAGGTATATTTATACACTATAGGGAGGTTAGCATGGGCAACACTGACCACAAATGTAAGTTTTTACAAGAGAATCTCTGGCCAGTATTTGTCACGGCCACGGTGGTGGGAGATTCACCTGTAAATTTAAACTTGCATTTGTGGTCACAGTGGGGCTCATGCTAACCTCCCTATGGTGTTTAAATATACTTAGTTGGATGAACCTTATTGTAGCCAGTTGGCCCAGTGGCTTATGCACTGGCCTGGAATTTTACAACTCACTTGCCATGAGTTCTAACCCCACCCGTACCGTGGTGAGTTGTCGTGGAAGATATTTATGGAAGCAAGTGTGGAACAGGTTACAGTGATGAAAATGGTTTCCCTCAATAGTGAATCTTAGAAAAAGATATGTTGTGATAATGTGTGTATTATAATGTAAAGGTATGTGCTAGTGTGTGAGGAACGTACTTGTAAAAGATAATAAAGCTGATAAAAGTTAGTGGGAATACTATAGTAAGTTGTAAGTTGGTAGGAATATTAGAGTATATATAGTCTGATGGGTCAATTCAGCATGATATCTGTGCCCTTCTAGAAAGGCACCTAATGTACTAATAGAAAATGATTTCTTCAGGACATGATGCCTTAATGTAATATATCAGATTAAATAATGATATAAATTTTTATACAGTCAGTTCTCTTATATAGCTCTACAGTGTGTGATTGTTTGCAAAAGCAATTAAATAAGTACATTCAGAACTGAATACAAGGTACATTAACCCTTTCAGGGTCGCCAGGCCCTCTCCGAGACTTGTTCTCAGGGTCGCCAAATTTTCAAAAAAAAAAAAAAAAAAAAAATTCTTATGAAAAGATAGAGAATCTTTTCCCGATCATAATGACACCAAAAGTATGAAATTTGATGAAAAACTTAGGGAATTATGCTCTCGCAAAATTAGCGGTCTTGACGATGTTCACGCATCGGTGATTTTGCCCACTTTGAGCCCTATTTTTGGTCAATTCCAGTGTACTAGTCTATGAAAATCATAACTGTTTTGCTAGAACTCCATTTTTTCTATCAAATGAGTACAAGAAAACACCCATTTACCAATTTCAACTATCCAATAAAGTGGTCAGAATTTAGCAATTTTGCCAATTTCACACAAATTTCAAAAGATGCCAATTTCAGAATAGGGTACAGAATAAACAAGAAAGACATTCCTGGCACTAAAATAACATTTCCTCTGTTCATTAGTCACGTTCCCACGCCCCTCTTACTTTCTTTTGCTTTCCACTTGGAATTTTTATTCTCACAAAAAATAGAAGATTTACTGTTATGCAGATTACTGTATTAGTGTAAAATGGTATAAATAATATCAGCGCACTTGTGAAAGAATATTAGACTCACCAGTTGACGTGTATTGGACGCGTAGCATGATTTGTTTACTTTTGAACTTTAGTAAAAATCGAACATTTCTGCTACTTTGAGCTCAATTTCAATGTACTTTTAATTGTAAAACCAGTCAAAATCATCTCAATTTCTGTAATATGTCTTCCATTCTATAAAATGAGACCAGGAAAACTAGAATACAACAATAAATACCATACGAAAATACAGTGCAAAGTCACTGTTTTAATCCAAAAACACGGTCAAAGTTTTTTTTTCTCATTACGCACTGTGTGCTGAAGAAATTTTTTTATGCTGCACACACTGACCACATAGACCCTACCAGCTTTTTCTCACCAGATCTGAGGGCGCTAGAATTTAGGCGTACTAGTACGTCAAAAACCCTGGTGCGTAAGCCGTACTAGTACGTCCAAAACCCTGAAAGGGTTAAACCCTCAATATAATGGACTAACAGGGGGATTGAGTGTCCATTAAATCAGAATGTTAAAAACAGCAATAAAATGCACTAGAGTACTATAGCAAATAACTAATATAGTACTATGAGTACAATTTACAGATATATTGTAAATGACCTTTTAAATAAAGAAATTAAAAGTACAATTTGCCTGGTGCATTTTGCCCATAATTGGAAAGTCCATTACATCAGGGTCTGTGATATTCAGGGTGTACTGTACTACAGAGGAATTTTCCCATGCTATTTAACTTGGCATGTACCTATTAAATCAAAGTTATGACAAACTGCACAACAGATAAGAGCTTCACGAGAAAGAGAATGATTATCACATCTAAAGCAACTCCAGCATCCTCCTTTATTATACTGAACTAGTTTTCGGTTTATTTACGTTAGGATAGTAGACTGGTAGACAGCAATCACCCAGGGAGTCACCCAGGGAGGTACTACCGTCCTGTCAGGTGACTGTGAAACAGAAACCTGTAACTGTTTTACATGATGGTAGGATTGCTGGTGTCTTTTTTCTGTCTCATAAACACGCTGGATAAGAGGTATATCTTGCTACTTCTACTTACACTTAGGTCACATTACACAGGCACGCACATGCATATACAAACATACACACATCTAGGGTTTTTTTTCTTTTTCTTAACAGCTCTTGTTTTTTTTTTTCTCTCTATTGTCCATGGGAAAGTGGAAAAGAATATTTCATCCGTAAGCCATGCGTGTCGTATGAGGCGACTAAAATGCCGGGAGCAATGAGCTAGTAACCCCTTCTCCTGTACACATTTACTAAAAATTAGAAGAAAAGCTTTATAAAACTGGGATGCTTGAATGTGCGTGGATGTAATGCGGATGATAAGAAAGAGATGACTGCTGATGTTATGAATGAAAAGAAGTTGGATGTCCTGGCCCTAAGCAAAACAAAGCTGAAGGGGGTAGGCAAGTTTCAGTGGGGAGATATAAATGGGATTAAGTCAGGAGTATCTGAGAGAGTTACAGCTAAGGAAGGGGTAGTAATAAAGTTGAAGGACCAGTTATGGAAGGAGAAGAGGGAATATAAACGCGTAAATTCAAGGATTATGTGGATTAAAGTAAGGGTCGGAGGTGAAAAGTGGGTCATAATAAGTGTGTATGCACCTGGAGAAGAGAGGAGTGTAGAAGAGAGAGAGAGAGAGATTTTGGGAGATGTTAAGCAACTGTCTAGGAACCTTTGAACCAAGTGAGAGAGTAATTGTGGTAGAGGACCTAAATGCTAAAGTAGGAGAAACATTTAGAGAGAGTGTGGTAGGTAAGTTTGGGGTGCCAGGTGTAAATGATAATGGGAGCCCTTTGATTGAACTTGTATAGAAAGGGGTTTAGGTATAGGTAATACGTATTTTAAGAAAAAAAGGATAAATAAGTATACAAGATATGATGTAGGGAGTAATGACAGTAGTTTGTTGGACTATGTATTGGTAGATAAAAGACTGTTGAGTAGACTTCAGGATGTACATGTTTATAGAGGGGCCACAGGTATATCAGATCACTTTGTAGTTGTAGCTACAGTGAGAGTAAAAGGTAGATGGGATACAAGGAAAATAGAAGCAGCAAGTAAGAGAGAGGTGAAGGTGTATAGACTAAGAGGAGGAAGTTATGGTAAGATACAAACAACTGTTGGAGGACAGATGGCATATGAAAGGTAGAAGTGATGCAAGGAGGGAAGAGTATATGGAAAGAAAAAGAGAGGTTAAGAGAGTGGTGAAGCAATGTAAAAAGAGTGCAAATGAGAGAGTGGGTGAGACTTTATCAACAAATTTTGAAAACAAAAAAGGTTTTGGAGTGAGATTAATAAGCTGAGGAAGCCTAGGGAACAAATGGATTTGACAGTTAAAAATACGAAAGGAGAGTAATTAAATGGAGAGTTAGAGGTATCGGGAAGATGGAGGGAATATTTTGAGGAATTGTTAAATGTTGATGAAGATAGGGAAGCTGTGATTTTGTGTATAGGACAAGGAGGAATAACATCTTGCAGGAGTGAGGAAGAGCCAGTTGTGAGTGTGGGGGAAGTTCATGAGGCAGTAGGTAGAATGAAAGGGGGTAAGGCAGCTGGGATTGATGGGATAAAGATAGAAATGTTAAAAGCAGGAGAAGATATAATTTTGGAGTGGCTGGTGACATTATTTAATAAACGTATGGAAGAGGGTAAGGTACCTAGGGATTGGCAGAGAGCATGCATAGTTCCTTTGTATAAAGGCAAAGGGGATAAAAGAGAGTGCAAAAATTATAGGGGAAGAAGTCTTTCGAGTTTGGTAGACAGCAGCCGCCCACGGAGGTACTACCGTCCAGCCATGTGAGTGTAAAACGAAAGCCTGTAATTGTTTTACATGATGGTAGGATTGCTGGTGTCCCTTTTTCTGTCTCATAAACATGCAAGATTTCAGGTACATCTTGCTACTTCTACTTACACTTAGGTCATACTACACATACATGTACAAGCATATATATACCTATCCCTCTGCGTTTTCTTCTATTTTCTTTCTGGTTCTTGTTCTTGTTTATTTCATCTTATCTCCATGGGGAAGTGGAACAGAATTCTTCTTCCGTAAGCCATGTGTGTCGTAAGAGGCGACTAAAATGCCGGGAGCAAGGGGCTAGTAACTATCTCCTGTATATACTACTAAATTTAAAAGGAGAAACTTTCGTTTTTCCTTTTGGGCCACCCCACCTCAGTGGGATACGGCTGGTGCATTGAAAGAAGAAAGAAGTTTGTTGAGTATACCAGGTAAAGTGTATGGTAGAGTTATTACTGAAAGAATTAAGAGTAAGACGGAGTAGGATAGCAGATGAACAAGGCGACTTCTGGAAAGGTAGGGGGTGTGTAGACCAAGTGTTTACAGTGAAAGATATAGGTGAACAGTATTAAGAAAAGGGTAAAAAGGTTTTTGTGGAAGATATGGA